GAGTGTCCCACAAGAGTGTCCCACAAGAGTGTCCTATAAGAGTGTCCCACAAGAGAGTCCCAAAACAATGCCCCGCAAGAGCTTCGTACAAGAGTGACCCACAAGAGTGTCCTACAAGAGTGTCCCGCAAGAGTGTCCTACAAGAGTGTCCCACAAGAGTGTCCCACAAGAGTGTCCTGTAAGAGTGTTCCACAAGTGTGTCCTACAAGAGTGACCCACAAGAGTGTCCTGTAAGAGTGTCGAGAGTGTTCCACAAGAGTGTCCTACAAGAGTGTCCCATAAGAGTGTCCCACAAGAGTGTCCTACAAGAGTGTCTCACAAGAGTGTCCGGGAAGAGTGACCCACAAGAGTGTCCTAAAAGAGTGTCCCACAAGAGTGTCCTACAAGAGTGTCATTTGGACATATGTAGTTTTTCGAACGTGTTTGCATTCGGGTTCGTGGGTTCCATCTTGTTTATTATTTGCTTTCCTCGTCAGAGCTTGAACGTCGTCCTGGACCTGAGCTTGAACCTCAAGCTTTGCGACTTTGGGCTGACTGAGTCGATGGTGGGATGCCCAGGTTTTCGAAAAAGGAAGACGCGCTTCTGCTTGAAAGCAAATGTAATTGTTTCTGTATGGAGGAGAGAACGCACATCACCAAGAAGAACAATGGCGGGTCACCTCGATACATGGCTCCGGAGGCTGATATCAGTACGTCACAAGTGCTTCCAGCTTGCAGTCGCTGGTTTCTGGAGGGCAAACCGGCAAACCAAGGTGCGCAGCATCTCTTCTAGCATCACTCACTGGGTTCATTCAGCACTTTAGGCACAGTATCTTTGCAAAACCCCACCAAAAAGAGACAAACTTTGATCACTTTGACTGCAGCTTGACTTGGCGTTTGGTAGATGTCACGAGGATCCTGGGCGACATGTCCTCAACAACATCCATAAAGTTGTTTTGCATGGCTTCGCAATGTTGCGATTGTGCAATGGAGAGCAGCTCATCGCCGGGTGCTAGCGATGCCCTACGCTCTGCTTGTTTTGCTCTCAGACTCGACAGGTAGCTATCGCTTTTGTGTGCCAGACAGTGAGAGATGTAGTTTTGCTATTTTGGGGCAGACATGTCATGTAGCAATGTAATCCACAAGAGAGCAATATGTTCAAGGTGAGCATGCATCTATAAGGCAGTCGACCACCTCTCTGACAGTGTTGGCGGCTGGGGCCTCATCACCACACAGTTGACAGGGTAAGGACCTTCCGATGGTCTGAACATTCCTTGTTGGAACCGGTGCCTTGTTTTTAGCATGTAATGCAACAAAACTGAAGACTTCTAGAGAAAGGTCTACAGAGAACGTAGACATTTGAGAAGAGAAAGTAGATTTCTAGAAGAAAGGTAGAGATTTCTAGAGAAACGTCTCAAAGATGTAGAGATTTCTGAAAAAAAATGTTGGAATGTCGAGATTTCTAAAGGGGTTTTCTATCAAACAATATCCCAAACACACATTTGTAGCAAAAGGTGTTTATTTAATCTCCCAAAAACTTGTCCCGGAAAAAGGAGGCGGCAAAGAAAGCCAAAGACATGTAGCGAAAAAAGGTCGAGAAGAGAGAGAGAGAGAGAGATCCGAACATATGGAGGCCTGGAAAAGTAAGGGAAACGTGAAAAAGCAAAAACTGGAAAAATGACAAAGAGGAAAGCGCTGAATGCTATGATTTGAGTGTAGCAGCTCACCAAGGACTTGAGCCTGTTGACAGACATGAAACTCGCCATTTTCTGACAGCCCGGCACCTACTTTCAGCTCCTAGCGTCAAGCTTCAATCACATTCATAGCCCGCCATTCTAGTGCCTTACTAGTAGTAACAAGAAGCTAGTAGTAACAAGTGCCACGCTACTAGTAACAGGTGCCTTACTAGCAGGAACAAGAAGCTACTAGTAACAAGTGCCTTACTTGTAGTAACAAGGACGCTACTAGTAACAAGTGCCTTACTTGTAGTAACAAGGACGCTACTAGGAAC